TGTTGACAAGGAGGAAAGGTATCTAATATTGCTCTTTGGCACACCGATATCAACAAGGTAATTCCACCTCAGAGCAAGGTTACTTCACAGTAGCAGTGGCATCTGACCTCCAGTATCACGTGGAAAGGCTGAGTCCTCACTCTACTGGCAATTACCTCTTATAATCTTGAAAAACTAAGGGAAGGTTATATTTAATATACTAAAGGTTAATAAAAGGTTACATTTTATAAGCTAAGAGGTATATGCTAAACATATACCATTTTATTAGTGTAATATTAATTTGTTCCCAAAATGAAGATGATGATATTGTCTTGCCATGTTGGAGTAACATTGTTTAATGCTGCACAAAATGCGTGTGTGTTACTATGTGGTGGTGGTGAAGAAAGGGAAAATTATAGGATAATATTCTACTACCACTTCAGCAACCATGCAGAATGTCCCGTTACATGATCTATCATACACGTAGCCATGCTAATATCTATGTAAATATAAAATTAATGATTTTTGCAGACAGTTGCTCTTTACCACTCTTCACAAATGGCATAAATGAAATTGAAGGGCTCTGTTCAACCACATGCCACTTGGAGATTTATTTTAATGAAGACATAATGAAGCAGAACACTTTCTTGATAGACGATAATGATAGCAAATGACAAAATTATTTTAGAACTCAAATCTCTTGGTAACACATTGAAATAGATGAGTGGGTGAACACTATTTTAGAGAGCATTCAATGAGTTTGAGGAAATAGGTTAACTTAGATAGCCAAAGATCTGAAGGGTGAAGTTAAGAAAGGCATTCGGAATTATGGGCTATAGAACTCTCAAAAATTAGTTATGGGCACATGATCTGACCTTCTGGCATATTTCAAGAACTTGAAAATGTTCAGTGTCCTTGACATCCTCTCTAGGCAGAGCTAAACAATCAGTGTATTCCCAATTCATCCCCTGCTTTATCACAAGATTTGGAGCATTAGTGCGCTATGTCTAAACCTCATATTTTTAGCTGCCTGAACGTATTAGAATAATAACATCCAATTGTAAACTAAGACTGTACTCCAAAAGAATGTGAAGATAAAGTTGAAAAATATAATGGTAATGCACTATAAATGGTCTGAAGGAAATAATTAATATTTTAAAATTTTTAAAAATCTCATGCTATCTAATAACTAACCTTACTTCCAGTACCTGAAGGAAGCCTACAGCAAAGGAAGAGGGGGACTATTTACAAGAGTATTTAGTGACAGGAAAAGGGGGAATGGATTCAAACAAAAAGAGAGTAGATTTAGGTTAGATATTAGAATTCTTTACTGTGAGAGCAGTGAGGCCCTTGAACAGGTTGCTCAGAGAAGTTGTGGATGCCCCATCCCTGGAAGTGTTCAAGGTGAGGCTGCATACAGATCTGAGGAACCTTGTCTAGTGGAAGGCACCCCTGTGCATGGCTGAAGGATTGGAACTTTAAGGTCCTTTCCAACCCAAACCCTTCTGTGACTCTATGATTCTAAATCTACTTTCTTTCAACCATTCCTCCTTATCCTATCACTACATGCCCTTATAAGAAGACCCAGTCTGGCTTTCTTATAGATCCCCATTACGTACTGGAAGGCTGCTAGAAGGTCTCCCTGGAGCCTTCTCATTTTCAAGTTAAACAACCCCAGCACTCTCAGCCTGTCTTCATAGGAGGAGAAGTTCTCCAGCTCTGTGATAATCTTTGTGGCCCTCCCCACAAAGGAGAGGTCTGTGTTCTTCTTATGTTGGGGGTCCCAAAGCTGGAAGCAGTACTCAAGGTGAGGTCTCTCAGAGCAGAGTAGAGGGGCAGAATCACCTCCCTCAACCTGCTGGTCACATTTCTGCTACAGCCCAGGACATGTTAGGCTTTCAATGCTGCAGGAGCACATTGCTGGGCCATATCAAGCTTCTTATCAACTGGCATCCTGAAGTCGTTCTCTTCAGGGCTGCTCTCCATCCACTCATTACTCAGCCTGCATCCATGTTTGGGATTGACCTGACCCAGACGTAGGTCCTTGTATTTGGCCTTGTTCAACTTCATGAGGTTCACACAGGTCTCCCTCTCCAGCCTGTCCAGGTCCTTCTGAATAGTATTCTTGCCCTCCAGTGTGTTGACTGCACCACACAGCTTGGTGGCATGAGCAAACCTACTGAGGGTGCTCCCACTGTCCATGTTGCTGGCAGAGATGTTAAACAGCACCAGTTCCAACACCAGTCTCAGAGGAATGCCACTCATCACTGGTCTCCACTTGGACATTGAGCTGTTGACCACAACTTTTTGAATTCAACCATCCAGCCAATTCCTTACCCACTGCGTGTTTCACCAAATCCACATCTCCCCAGTTTAGAGACAATGTTGTCTGGCAGGACACTGTCAAAAAGCTTTGCACAAGTCAAGGTTCAAATGACATCTGTTGTTCTTCCCCCATTCACCAACTCTCGTCAAAGGGTACCAGATTTGTCAGGCACAATTTGCCCATAGTGAAGCCATGTTGGCTGTCACGAATCACTTTCCTGTCCTGGATGTGTCTCAGCATAGTTTCCAGGAGGAATTGCTCCATGACCTTGCCAGGCACCAAGATGAGACTGATTGGCCAGTAGTTTCCTGGATCTCCCTTATTTCCCGTTTTAAAAATAGGGGTTATAGTTCCCTTTTTCCTGTCAGTGAGAACTTCACTGGACTTCTCAAATACGATAGGTAGTGACTTAGTCACTTTTTCCGCCAGTTCCCTCAGGATCTGTGGGTGTATCGGTGTATCTCATCAGATTTACCTCAAGATAAACCTGACCTTAGATCTTTCATTCTGCCCATCCTTTCTCTATGCTTTGAAACTTCTGAGAAAGACACAATTTCTGCAAGAGCTGGGAGAGTAAAGCCATCAAAGGATATATTACCCCAGGAAGAACAGGATGAACACCATGTGTTACCATGTGTTCACAAATTTAGATGAAGGGATGGCTAACAAATTACAGCCCTCTCTGAACTGCAATTAAAAAAATACTAGTAGCTGTAGCTGCAAGAAAATATATGATATTTGAAAAATGCACATGGTTTGGAGACAGTATTATTTTGAGACTTGAAGTTTAGCTATTGGGCTTTGGTTCAAGCTGCACTAGAAGTCATAGGCCAAATTTGTATGAGTGTAGGAAAGCCTTAGACACTCAAGAACCTGTCTCAGTGCATTAACTGCAGAAATAGCCTGTTAGGAAAAAGGAGGTGAAATGAAAGCAGTGCAGTGCAGAGGAGCCAGGTGAATGCTCATTCAGTGTGGTAAGTAAATCTTTTATACAGCTGTTAACATACAAGAGACTGTATTTTACTACAAATTATGCAAGCAGTTTGTACAGTTCTATGGTTATTGTTTTAGTATGTTATATGAGGGATGTTGTTGATAGTAGTTCACAGGACACATGGCAATTTTACTGACACTCTGTCTTCTTTTCTACCTTTGAACTATTTTAGTCATGTTTATGCCTTTCAGTGCTTCAGATTTTTAGGCCTATGACACAAGGATGATCGTGCTTCTCACCAGGGGTGAATCTAACACTAGTAAGGGAACAGTGCTGTAGAGGAGGCTTTCCTACACTCAAGCAAATTTGACCTATGGCTTCCAGTGCAGCTTGAACCAAAGACCGCTAGCTAAACTTCAAGTCTCAAAATAATATTGCCTCCAATTTGTAGTTTATTAGTTACAGTAGTCAAAGGAGAAGTCTTGAGGCTTTAACTTGGGACTTTAGTCAACCTGGTAATTAGCTTCTAAGAAATCCTTTACTTAGAGATCAGTAAACTGCATAGTAGGAAATACAATGAAAACCACGAGAAATGGACTTTTAATTTTTTTGAGGTGTTAAAATGAGTTTTTTTAGCACAGTGTTATCATGGAAATGTTGCTGGATTGAAGCAGCTGATTTTTCCAGCCAGATAGAAACTTGCAGTCACCAACAGCAAGCAGGGCTTCAACCTGTGCTTTTAGAAAGCTTTATGATGAAATTTATGCATGGTAATTTAAGCATATTTTAACCATTCTGACAGAAATGTCCTGTGAGAACAAACAAATCTTTCTGAAAATAGCCTTAAGAGAGGCAAAATGCTTCTGAGAAATAGCAGTGGGAACTCATTGTCATCCAAGAGGACATAATGTCCCTCCATCCATCAGGACTTAACTGTATTCCAGAAATTTTGCATGGTAAGGTTTTCAACTGACTGAAATACAAAAGTATTCTAACAAATGAGCAGCTTATTTTGTTCCATGCTGGCAAAAGTACTACATGAAAGTGACCCTGCACTGTTGCTCAGTGTCAGTGCAGCAAGCTCAGAAGCCTGCAGAAGGCAGCAGCTGAAAAGTATTCAAGAAACTCTTTGCAGTTTTTCCTTTATTTGTACATAAATTCAGATGGATCAGCACGGGTGTGCATACATGTGCATTTTGTCTTCTTTTCACCTGCTAAAGAACAGAGAGGATCTGGGACCAAGTGTGGAGCAGAATACTGTAGCTAATAGATTCAATTGTAGATTCACTTCAGAATTTTCACAGAGCTGTTGCCAGTTCTCCAGATTCTCTAGATCTAGAGACCCCATAAAGATATGATCATGACAGTAGTGTCTCAATCAATGCAATCAACAATCAAGTACGCAATCAACAACAGGAAGGAGTCAAACATGTTCTTTGTCAAAGCAGGAGTCACATCACAGGAATTACGCTGTATAATCCTCATGTGGTCTGCTGATATTGGGGAACTCCTTTCCATCTAATGTGCCTGTGAGGTATTCCAGTTGAATCATTTGCAATCTAAAGAAATCCTGATTAATCCTAATGCTGTTATCTTAGATTGTGACCACATGTTTTCTTGAAAATAAAAGTACATTCTGCACTGAAAATGAAAATTTAGTATCAGGGAGAGTCTGTTGCAGCACTGATTCATCTAGTCTCAAATTTTGTGAATATGAAGGTTCACAGTAGTTGACTGTACTGTGACACAATCCCAAGGACAAGACAATGAATAATGTAAGTTTTTTTGGTAGAGGCTGTATGTTGAAAATAACCATCTAAAATTTTCTTTCTTTGTGGTAAATGTAAGAATAAATAATTTTAATTAATAATTTATAAAAATAAAAAATTATCCACTTTGTGGATAATTTGGGGCTGATAATCCTTTCTACTGGCTTGTTGTCTCACCTTTACAAGAAGGGAAGGATGTACACACTGGGAGATATTTGTCTGGTGAAGTGACTTTCAGTGGTGGGTTGGTCACTTAGTTTTTCAAATCCAGTGCACTACAGGTGTTCCCAAGCTGCAGGAAACAGCAAAGAATTCAACCTAGACAGAACAATACAGAAAATCTCAGAACATGGGAATTCTGGGTGTATGTGCTGAGCAATACAGAATCACAGAATCAATTAGGCTGAAAAAGACCTAAAAAAGACAGAATCAATTAGGTTGAGTTCAGCCTATGATTGAACACCATTATGTCAACTAGACCATGGTACCAAGTGCCATGTACAGTCTTCCCTTAAACACCTCCATGGATGGTGACTCCACCACCTTCCTGGGCAGCCCATTTCCCTTATAAACTAATTAGAAAAAACAAAGACTTCTTCAACTTTGCCAGGTCATCATGACATTTACATTTAAAGCATGACTTTTCTCTTCTTTGAAGTTTAGTATTTTCTGCTAATGAGGAAATGCTTTGGATGCTCTGGTGTAGCAGATCTAAAATCTGAAAATGCCAGGGTCACTGCTTTTCTTGTGAAACTGTTGTGTGTAATTGAATACAAATTTTTTATTTGAAGATGCCATCTGGGTAATAACCAGAGTGCTGGCAGGAAGTTCCTAATTGGGCTTTCTGCACGCACCCTTATCTGTAAGTGTTTTATGAACATTACAGGTCTGCTGCAGACTGACAAATCAGTTTCAGAGGTGTGACTGTGTCTAGCTATCGGTATAATGCCTGTAAGTTGAGAGCCCTTCTGTTTCTCTAGTCTGTGGATTCAGCTGGCCTACATTATGTCAAGATCTCAATATCTTTTTCACATTTGCCTTTTTCATGCATCTCATAGGCTACAGTAAAGCTATATGATCCCTAACAAGTTGTCAGTAAAGCTGATAGGTAATTTGCCAAACAAGAGAAAACTAAAGAAATATAAAGCTTAAATAAGACTAGAAAAATATTTTCCCTTGGCTCCCTCACTGCAGGCAAACTGGAATTACTTTGTCCTTTGTTTTTTTCTTAATGAGAGGAGAGACTTACTGCATTTGTGCACAGTTAGTAATATCAATTATTTGGCATTCTTATAATTTATTATTATAAGCAGTGTAGTAACATATATTAATACCCATTTTGTTCTATTTTATCTTATTCTATTTTCTTAGATTTTGTTTGTGTGTGCTTAAGGACCAATCCTATTCACTTCATTTCCTGTTTTATCACAGAATTGATCTCATTGTGGTCAATGGGATTATTGGAATTACACTAGAGAAATTTCTGTGATATGTTATGAATATATATATGAATATATACCTATATCAGGCCACTTTTTTTGGTATTGTTCAAATTTAAGTCTAGATAACAGAGGACTACACTAGGAATAAGAAAAACTCTTAAATAATTAGGATTTTTTCTGTACTAACTCATTGCTTGTTATTTCCCTAGCATACTTTTGTTTGTATAAATAATTTTGCTGAATAAATATCATCATAATAACTAGTACATTCCAGTGCTTTTCTGCAAGAGTAAGATTTGTATTACCCTTTTTTTAGGAGCTGTCATGTTAAAATAAAGTGACTGCTTCTGATTGTTTACCTGAATTTAATATACATCTTAATGCTGCATGGGACTTCAAAAATTCAGCTGTTGGCAAGTAAGGACTCAACTGGAAATAGCTCAGAATTGTTTAGGTTTTGTGGTCTCAATAATAGATAGATTCGTTTGGTTTTTGTCTTTCTATGCTTGCCTTTGATTTGTCCATCTTCAGCATTTTGAAAATTTGGCTTCCGTATCTCCAGCTGGATGCCCCACATCACTTCACAATTTGAAAATGCTACTCTGATTGTTGTGTATTGACTCCTTCCTGAAAGCAGTAAGGATCATCTTTAAGGCTGTATTTTCCTCATTTCATCCACTCATGCATATCCATTATGGTTTAATTTGTTGCTTTTTTTGCATGTGTGGTAGTTTTCCATCATGCTTTGCTTTGCGCACTTTGATCTGCAGGCTAAACGTGATGGATTTGTCTGTCACACTCTCTCTTTGGGCTCAGTAGAAGTGTCCTTGTACCAACAAGCACTCGTTTCACTTCACTGCACTGCAAGGGAGCTTACACAAGCAATCATAATATTAATGCTGTTCTAAGAAATAATTGCTGATGCACTCATCTTTAAAAAGAGATATTTTCCTCCAAATGTCTTTGAAACAAGGAAGTCCTACTTTTAATTTTGCTATGGACCCTCTGAAGTCTCTGACTTCAGCAAGCTGGATTATACTGTACTGTTACTATTATTCTCATCTTTTTTTTGTGCCTGAGGAAGAGACGTAATGTTTTGAAAGTCTAGAAAGTCTTCAGTGCCTAGAGTGTAAAATTCTTCAGTCAGGGAGATGCGAGATGGATCTCTGCTATTTCTCTGTATTATAAACAAATTTAAATTTATTTAAGGGTTGTACAGGGTGCCTTACATTTGGTAGGAACATTACAGAGAAACTGAATTACAAAGAACTTTATTTTTACAGAATTATGTTTTCTTGCCTCTTTTTATTTATTTTTGATCCACATTGTGGAATGAGAGAGAATCTGACTGTGCATTATCTGTGCGTTCAGTTACAAAGTATTTGAAAATGGCATCTGATTTTGGTAGAAGATCTGGTGTCCTTTGTACATGCTCCAGACCTGAGGGAGGAGAACAAATAAGAAGGAATCCTGTTGTGACTAATGAGTCAGTTGTGCTACTGCTGTCAGATATATGAACGGTCTACCTTATTACAAGACCCTGGCAATCAGGCTGACATTAACTGCAAAGTCATTTCTGTATCTGTAATCTGTATGTATTTCAATTGACTTCATTGCACAATCTCCTATGCAGCATCCATTAGAAACATGCAGCTATATTTACAATGTATGGGAAGCTTCCCAGATTTCAGAAACAGATTTCTTTGTAGAAACACGTGGTCCTCACATAAGAAAAAAAACCACAAAAGCTCTTTGTCTCATCCAGGTTTTCCTTCTTAGATTCCTCCACAGAGTGAGAAGAGGTTCAGCCCAAGCTGGCTATTTTCCAAGTAAGTGCAAGTTATCCTATGCTACCCTGAACAATATTTTCCCCTAAAACTCTGTTCAGAGAGAGTGATCCTGAAGGTGTGCCCAGATAATATGCATGTGTGAAGAGTAAGGTGTAGGTTGTGAGCAGGTAGGCAGTCACTGCTCTTCAAACTTCGGTGAAATTCTAAGAAATTTCCCTGAAAAGAAGGCTAATTTTTATGTGTGTACATCCAACACAGCATTGCGCAACCTTGAAAAAGAAATGAAAAGGATTTTGTTGTTGTTTTTATCAGGCTACTCACAAATTGCCTCCCACATCTTAGTTAAACACTGCATATCTACATTTTTATATCAATGGCTCTTTGCTGAAATGCAAGTAGACAAGAAAAAAAGTTATTACAAGCTCCTACTAAGTACAGTTTCACTAACTGATTTTACATGTCTGAAAAAAAAAATCAAAGATTTGCTGTTTGTTATTAGAGAATTCAACATATACTCTCAAAACAAGTGTGAAAGAACTATAATGAAAGGTAGATTATGAGAAACACAGTTGTCTTTATTCAGTGTGTATTCTGTTTTCTTTTGGACATAGAATACATAACAACTGACAGATTTTAAAGCAACTGGATTACGTTATTTTGTAGAGATGATGGGAAAGGAAAGAGAAGGGAACAATCACTACTTAATGGAGCTTTTGACAGTTTTCTTCGTGTTTCCTATTAACATAAATGAACTATAATCTGTGTCATTTTCTGACTATATCAAATGCTTGTTGAGGAGAAAGGGAACTGTTTACTGGCAATTTAGTTAGTAGTGCTCTGAACTGCTTTGCTTATGCTGAAAACAAGTAACAATTATCCCTCTTTTATGATTCATAGAATCATATAGAACATGGAATCTAACCATTAACCTAGTCCACCACTAAACCACGTCACCAAGTGCCACATCTACAGGTATTTTAAAAATCTCCAAGTATGGTGACTCAAATACTTCCCTGGGCAGCCCATTGCAATGACTGGCAACACTTCTGGTGAAGAAATTTTTCCTAATATTTAATCTAAGTCTCCTCTGGCACAACTTGAGGCTATTTCCTCTCGTCCTGTTGCTTTTTATCTGGGAGAAGAGGCTGACACCCACCTGGATACAACCTCCTTTCAGGTAGCTGTAGACAGCAATAAGGTCTTCCATGAGCCTTCTTTTCTTCAGGCCAAACAACCCCAGCACCCTCGGCTGCTCCTCGTACGATTTTTGCTTTAGACCCTTCACCAGCTCTGTACACAATAAATTGGTTGTTAAATAGCACCAAAACATATTTTTCAATTCAGATGCAACAAAAGGAATGAAAACATATAAACTCTAAATTAACTGTGAGTAAATTACAATTAATCCTTTATCTGAATGATGTGATCTAGTAAGGAATTTCTGTGCCATGGAAACAAAGCCATATTTGTAAGCAGTGTTTAGCAAGTAGTTAGGAAGCAGACAGAAATCCACGAATCCAAATCTTCTTGTAGGACACCATTAAAAAGCTGTGTATCATGGTGTGGATACCTTACATAGAAGATATAGTGCAACAGTCTTATACAGGGTACAGTAATTCAGTAAGACAAGGAAATGACAATGAATTGAAAGACCACTGTGTTGCAAAGCGTGTGGATTTCAAGGGCAGACCTGGGATAAAGGATTTGTTTGTATTGCTACTGAAGTGTTTAAGTGGACTTATGAAGGAAATGTGTATGCTTATTGGTATAAAGAAAAATCAGGTTTTACAGATTCAGTTACCACAATAGGTGAGTTTGTATATGTATCTTCAAATATAACAAAAACCAGACTTCCAAAATTTACAATTATAGCTATTTAATGAAACCCAACAAGAGTTTAATTAAAGTTTCGTAATCAAACTTCAAATGCCAATAGCTTCCAGGATTAGTTTTCACCGGACTTTGATTCTTTTCTTTTTTATATATATATTTTTACATAGGTTTTAATTACAATGACATGATATTTTCTTACACAGGATTTTTCAGAAATAAACAGATCTGAAGAGACACAGGGAATTACATGATGCTATTTCTGCCCTTTCAGTCAAACATTCATATATATGTTATAAGCACTGACCTGTTCCAAATCAACACCTACCTTTTGCTTTTTCTGAATTTGCAGTTATAATTAATAAAAAGTAGAAAAAGTATCATGGAGGCACTGGTGTGTACCAAGAAAAGCTTTAATTTTATCAGATATATTTATTTCCTGTAGTTTTTGTTGTCCATCTTCTATGTGAAGAGAACATTGCCTGTCTACCAGAGTGGAAGAAGAACCTATTGAGACTGACTGAAGTGGGGAAGGTTACTTTCCCTGCTGGATTACCAGTCTAATCGCTGTGCCTACAGCTTTGTTAAGCTCTTCAGCAGCAGATATGAGGATGTGAGAAATTTTTACCTCACCACTGTGAGTCATCAGGACTGGAAAACAGACTGACACAGTCAGTCACAGTTGTTTTGTGATCTGCCCTCTCTTCTGACGCCCTTCTTCCCACAACATGCTAATTTTCTACCTGCTTTAAGGGGGTCTTCAACGTTCCTCATGGATACATTGCTAACATTTTTTTAACTTCAGCAAAGAAATGTATTCTCTAGTCCTGTTCTCAGAAATAACAGAACACTTCCAACAAAATTTTGTCATTAAGATAAAGTGAAATTGTCAGTCCTTAATAGGCAACTGATATGTACAGCTTTAGCTTGGGTGATTAAATAAAACTAGAAACCTGAAAGACACATCATTGGAATGGAAAAAGGCATGCCAATTTAGCAAGTGTACCAGTCCCCAGAATATAGTTTTGACCACTGTTATTTATCTTAATGTCTTTTTGGCATTTATGCGTTATGTATTTTATGGAACAAGCTTGTAGCAGGAATGAACTTACTAGCTTAGTTGTAAAATGCTTTAAGGAAAAGGAGTAGCAAGTGAGATCCATTTAAAGAAGCTGATGATTTGACAGAAAATAATACAAATAATATAAAGCTGCTTAAATAAAGCTCGAGACAGATGTGCTGAACTTCACTAAGGTATTTTCTGAAGGTTAGAGGATGTACATCCATCTTTTTTCTCTGGCATTGCAGTAGTCTGCTCAGTTCTCTATGCCAAGTACTCTTAATCTTGTAAGAAAGCACTGTACCAGAGATGGTGTGCATGGCTGACTTTGGCTCAAGCTGACACAAATTATTATTGCTTTTGCAATTGTAGAGGCATTTGTTTGAGGTAAACTTTTCTTATATTTATAGACACTGATCAAAATTCCATGGATGGGAAAGCAGGAGAAAAGGTCAGTACTCAGTAAACTTCAGTCTATTTGTTTCTAAGCCACAGGTAGGTGTGTTGTGTGGAAGCAACAGAGTCTAAAGCATCCTTTCTGCATCCCTCAGCTACCTTGTGTGGATCCCTTAAAGTCAATGCAGAACTGTGTTGGCTGTTACCTGCCATCTATAATGGCTCAGAGGGGGGCTGCAGGCTTATTCTGCACTGGAGCATATTGCTTTCCAATATGCTGCTTTGTCTGAAGGCTGTCATTTAATTATGTGATGAGGGAGATGCCCTTGCTGGATCTTCTGATTCCCTCGACCCAGCTGAATGATAACTTTGAAGTGGGAAGAGGTCTCAATCTTTTATTTGTAAATATGATTTCTTTGGGAGGATGTCAAAGAGGAAACAGCAGGAAGGGTGCATAATGCACAGCTAAGTCATCCTCCCTTTACTGTGGTAAACCAGACCCGAGTACTTACTCTTTGTCTGCCACCTCCTGCATTTCATCTTGGGCTTTCTGTAACCAAATCAGCTGAATGAGGACTACTGAGAGATTCTCTGCATTTTAAATGTCTCTGTGCTTCAGGGGAAGGAAAAAAAGAAGCAAAGAGTATCTGTGTTCAACTGAGGAGTGATAAATATATTCTCCTGCCTGTTGCTGGTTCAGGTGTTCTGAGAAGAAATTGAATGCATAGGCAGAGAGCCAGTATTTTCAGCATGGAACCCACAAGTCTTGGAAAGGAACTTTCCCACTGGTTGCTCCTCTCTTCTGCCAATATATGCATCATCATCTTTACTACTTCTTTAATGTATTTTAATGTATTTTTTAGTCAACTTTCCAGGAAAAAGTTCAGAAATCCTATGAAGATTGTTTGATATTTCCATTAAATAAAATTCCCTCATGGGGAATATAAGACCAGCAAGAGCTCTTTAATATCTAATTCATTACATTAAGTTGGTTATCTATGTGTGAAGAAACTGTATTGCTGCCGACATAGCTAACCAAGTGATTCAGGGCTCAAGGTACTTTAGTGCTGCTTGAACATAGAGAAGATGAAGCAAGAAGGAAGGGTGTTTATTTTGGTGAAATCTTGGAGAAGATTATTCTGAGAGTTATTAAAAAACATTGGTCACAGTCAGCACAGGCTCATGAGGGAAAGTCCTTCTTAAAAAATTAATTTCCTTTTACAACATTGTTACCTACCTATTAGTAAAAGGGAAGACAGTTGATGTAACCTGTTTGGATTTCAGTAAAGCTTTTGATATTGTTTCTCACAGTATCTTTCTGGACAAAATGTCCAGCACACAACTGGATAAACATGCCATGCAGTGAGTGAGCATCTGGCTCATGGGCCAGGCACAAACGCTTACAGTAAATGAGGGGACACCAGACTGGCAACCTGTCACTAGCGGAGTTCCACAGGGCTCCATCTTGGGCCCTGTGCTCTTCAACATCTTCATAAATGACTTGGATGTCGGAATGGAGGTATTCTAAGCAAGTTTGTTGATGACATTAAATTGGGAGGAGCTATTGATTCCATTGAAGGCAGAAATCTTGACAAATTAGAGGGCTGGGCAATCACCAACTGCACCAAGTATAACAAGGGCAAGTGCCAGATTCTGCACCTGGGATGGGGCAACCCCGGATGTTTGTACAGAATGAGGAATGAGATGCTGGAAAGCAGTGCCACAGAAAGGGACCTGGGGGTCCTGGCTGACAAGCTGAACATGCCTTAGCAACACCCTGGCAGCCACGAGGGCCAACAGTGTCCTGGTGGGAATCAGGCAAAGCATCACCAGCTGTTTGAGGGAAGTGACTGTCTTGCTCTGCACTGGTGCAGCCTTGCCTCAACTCCTGTGTGTGGTTTTGGGTGCCATAATATATCACAGAATACCAAAATGGATAAGGCTGGAAGGGACCATAGTGGGTCATCTGGTCCAACCTTCCTGCTCAAGCAAGGTCATCCTAGAGCACATGGCACCCAGGATTGTGTTCTCATATTCAGACAGAACTTCCTGTGCATCACTTTCTGCCCATTGCCTCTTGTCTTATTTATTGGTACCACTGAGAAGAGCCTGGCTCCTTGGCAACCCTCCTTCAGATACTTACAGGCATAGGTGATGTCCCCTCTCAGTTGTTTCTTCTTGAAGATGAACAGGTCCAGCTCCCTCAGCCTTTCCTTGTAAGAGGGATATTCCAGTTCTTTAATCATCTTTGTCACCCTCCATTGGACCTGCTCCAGGAGCTCCATGTCTCTTGTCCTGAGGAGCCCAGAACTGGACACAGCACTCCAGGTGAGGCCTCACCAGGGCTGAGTAGAGGGACAGGATCAACTCCCTCACCTGCTGTCAATGTACACCAGGACCCCATTGGCCTTCTTGGCCACACTGCTGGCTCATGGACAGCTTGTTGCCCAGCCAGACCCCCAGGTCCTTCTCTGCAGAACTGCTTTCCAGCAGATCAGCCCCCAGCCGATACTCGTGCATGGGGTTATTCTTCCCCAGATGCAGGACCTTGAAGTAGCCTTGGTTGAATTTCAGACAGTTCTTCTCTGCCCATCTCTCCAGCTTGTTTTAACAAAGTCTTTTAAGGTGATGTTCAGAACAAACATTTGTTTTTGTGATGGTTTGGACTTGGCTTCCTGCCAAATGCCCGAAAGTCACGACAGCAGCCCCCTTCCTCCCTCCTTTCTCCTCTTAGGGCAAAGAAAAAAAAACTATAAAAAATTAAAGAACCCAAAGTCAAGCTGTTTATATAAAATATATATATATTTACGTAAATTAAAGTTATATACAGTTAAGATGCTATATACACAGTAAAAGGGGATCCACTCCCCGAAGGGATAGGGAAAGGGGAAAAAGGGACACCGAACAGGTATACTTGATCAAATTCAAGAACTATACTAGTAATTAACAAAACAGATCTCACCACTTCCCTTAGAAAAAGCAGGATTGGCAGACACAGACAGCA